AAGATGGCCGAAGGGTTTATGGTTGCTAACCTCCTTGCTGTTTTTACTCATATTGTATTTCACGAAGGCTATCGTATCCGATGATAAACATTATTCTGCTTCAACGGCTCTGTTCACCAGCAGGATAGCTTGCCTGTTCCTTGAGGTTTTACTTTGTTGTTGGACATTTTTTTATTCCCACATTGTTAGTTTTGAGTTTCAGTATGTTGAACATACCCATGTTTAGCACCAGATAACTTTGGAAGATATAAACTATCTCCTGGGTTAGTGTTTTGTTTTTTAATTTTTAAACACAGTTTTATGATAAATAGAAAGCAAAGAAATAGGAAAGATGTAATTATTTATGAAATAAGATGATCAAGTAAGGGCCACTGAAATGGCCTGGCAAGTAATGGCATTTGTCCTCAAGCCTGGTAACCTGAGTTTGACCCCTGAGACCTACATGGTAGGAGAGAGCCAACTGGTACAATTTGTCCTCTGGAGTTCACACTCAAACCATGGAATACACACACACACACACACACACACACACACACACACACACACACACACGGAGGGAGAGGGGGGAGGGAGAGAGAAACCTTATCACTAAAAATTACAAGACTTTCTAGAGAAAACAATTACAGAATGTTTCAAGAAAATCATGTAATATAAACCTCTCTTGCCACTTACCACACCTCAGAACATACTCCATGATTTTCACAATCCATTGCTTTTGGTTTTAAAACATGTAATACGCAGCTCCCATCAGCTGAAAAACTATAGCTAAAAAATATTTAGGAAGGAGTCATGGAAGAAAGCACATGAAATACCCTAACTATTCAACTCACAGTTCCACACAGAAGTTCTTTCAGTATTTGACACATTTAGTGCATCTACCCCCACACAAGCACCCTCCACAGAACCCACTTCAACCTTCAAACCTCTGCTGAATGATCCAAAGGAAACCAATGCTCATGACAAGCCCATTTACCCAACAACTACCTATTCCAAGAAACTCATTCCCAGGCTTGCTGATAAGCAGAAAGAGAAAAAAGGCCTGGTGCATTCCAAATCCTCTTTTGAACCTCAGATAAGAGATGCCAAAGAAAGATTGCTGTTGGGAACGGCACAGGAATGAAGGAGCGAGCTGAGCTGGCATGTTTATGATTGTACACTGGCTTACCACAAGAGGCATCTGATATAGCATCAAAATAAACGATCTTCACCTGACTTGGCTTGAAAGCATCTCTAGGTTTCACTACTCAGAAAGGCATTGTGTGGATAGCTGGTGAAATGCAAGTAAATACTGAGGGAGACACCTGATGATGATGATGATGATGATGATGATGATGTGTGTGTGTCTTTGTCGTCCCCCCCCTCTCTCTCTCTCTCTCTCTCTCTCTCACACACACACACACACACACACACACACACACACACACACACACACACACACACTTTGATTAAGAAGGTTTTTGAACTGTGTCAACATCAGTGTCCTGGCCCAGACATTGTATGTGAGGAGGCTCACTGAGGGGAGTTAGGATGATACAGAGGGCCTCTTTGTATCTTCTGTATTTCTTTCAAAGTATAATGGTGGTCAGAAGCAGTTATTAACTAAAAACATTTACCTATGTGCATGAGTTCCCCAGGGCTACCACAACAAAATGAGAACACCTCATAGCTTAAACTAGTAGAGATGTATTTATTTATTATCTCACAGTTCTGAGGCAGGAGTCCAAGATCAGTGTGTTGGTAAAGTTGTGCTTCCTGTGATATCTATGGGAATTTTCCTGGACTCTTGTTAGACTTGGGACGTTCATTAACAATCTTTGTTCTGTGGATTGTGGCTACATCACCTCAGCCTCATCCCCATATGATGTTCTACCTCTAAGCATGTCTTCTCACAGTCATCATTTTTTAGGGACTCTACTCATACTAGATTAGGGATCCACTCTACCCCAGGATGATCTCATCTGAACCAAGCACATCTGTAAAAATCATACACCTAAATAAGGTTACATTCTGAGGTACTGGGGCTTAGAACTTCCTTATGTCTTTGGGGAATAGGGATTGTCCCTTCAAACTATAGGTCTAGTCTACCAAGGACTAAATTCTAGAACCTATTGCATTCTACATTGGAAACATGGCTCATTCCTTGCTTAACAAACTCTTATCTCCTGTATGCATCAGGCACTGTGTTGGGTGGTGTGGACATAAATGCTAGGACTACGGAAAAGTCTGGCCTAGATTATTCAGTATTCTTGCACAAACGTCGAAAACCCAGGTTTCTTTCCTACTCTTCAGGAAACTATTAGAACTCAATTTTTTGGGATGTCAATCTAATGTACTCTTTAACACATTCCCTCTGGGGTACCTTCTTGCCCATTTGCTAATTGATTTGTGTGGTTCTCCCTCCCTGATGTTGAAGTCAAAGTCCACACTCCTTTTGTCCCCTCTTACAACACTCCATATGCTAGAAAACTCCTCAACCCAACAGACCCTCAATGATTTGTCTAAAGAAAGAACACACACGCATTGAAGACTTGTACATCAAACTCTTCATTATCCCTTAATCCCCATGTCAACCCCTTTCCAGATGCATGCTGGAGCTCTAAGTCACACATTTTGTTATAGCCACTGTGACAAGTATCAGCAGTCAGATGAGGCCTGATGCTCACTTCAAACCAATTGAGCTTAGCCCATTCTGCAGCTAGAGTCACTCTTACACACCCATCCCCTACAAAAATGCTCACTGCACTGCGCTTAGAAAAGCATTCTATTTAATGTACCGGAAATGCATTTCATTTTAGCTTCTAAAGATAAAAATCCAAACTGGAGAGAATTTCTGATGCTTGAAATAGAAATACTTGGAGAGGGTTTGGGGCTTAAAAATAAAATACATTTGTGCTTGCATCTAATCATACAATCATAAAGTTGAATAAACCCAACAGTAGCCAACAGCAACAAACACCACAATTCAAGCATTCCAGATTCTTGGGGTATATTTGAGATCAAAGGCTAATTTCATTTAAAATGCAGGTAATTGATCCAAGAAATGAAAGTTCAAAATCAAAAAATTAAACTATCTAAGAATAACTCAGGCCACTGGAAAAAGATAGTGTAACTTAATACAATTCAAACATTTATTTTTGTAGAGGTTGTTTTATAAGTCATTTTCATATAAAGCTTATTTATTTTATTAAACTGAATGTTTCCTCCTAGAAAGACTTCAGGGACATATTCATTTAATGTTATTCTTTGAATAACTAGAAGAATATAAAATAGAGAGAGAGTGAGTGTGTGCGCGCGCGCATGTGTGTGTGTATATGTGCGTGTGCGTGCAATAGGCTTTTTACCAACTCAAATTTATGACCAATACAAATTACAGGTCAGCTACCTATTCATGACAGGTCTAGAATGGAGGCAACTTGATTGAAAGGAGTCAGTACTGGAACCAATGGCTCTGAGAACTTTGTATGCATTCTAAATTTCAAAGAAACCTCAACACTTCATTCCTTCTCTCCCAGACAGATATTTTCCAATAATAAATCCTTGGCCAAACTCAGCCCTGTCAGGTTTTGATGAGCTTTTGATGCCGCCTACAAACCCAGGAGCTGCAGCGTGGCTATCTATGGCTACCCAGGCCATTCGCCACAGCTGTAAACTCATGAAAGGCCAGAAGAAGTCTTTTAAATACATTATTATAAGAACATTGAATAACCCATAGATAATCAGTTTGACTTTACATTCCTATTACTAGTTATGCAGTGCTTTCCAATATCTTTTAAACTGATTTCTGTCACCAGTATAGTTTTTTTATTTAAAGATTTATTTTTATAATTTGTAATTTAATTATGTGGTGGGCATATGTGTACATGAGTACAGGCACCCTCTGAGTCCAGATGAGGGTGTCAGATCCCTTGGAGTTACAGGTGAGTGTGAGCCACCTGATAAGGGCATTGGAAGCTGAACTGAGGTCCCTTAACTCTTAAGAGACCCTGTGCCCTTAACTGCTGGACCATCTCTCCATCCCACCAGAATTGATTGATAGGGCTTATGAGGTCTACTGGAAAATTCTTCATCAAATTTATTTAATTATAAATTATTTCCAAAGGCATTGATTCATGTTATCATTAGTGTCCACAGTGTCTTAAAAATCTAAATAACAACATGATGGATGAGACTGTGTAGTATTTCTTAATACTTAATCTTCAATTTGAAGACAGGAGGGCTGTGAATGTAGCTCAGTGATACAGTGTTTGGATAGAAGACATAAGGCCCTTGGTTCTATTTCCAGCACCACAAAAATATAATAGTAGCAGTTGTAACAAAGGTAGGAGGCATCTGAGAATCACTGGCGTATCCTTACAAACCATGTGACCCTGACACAGAAAAAGACACAGTCGGTCAACAGGAAATGCAACGCACCCTTAGAGGGCTAGCTGGCCTTGATTATTCTGCAGATATACGTATGATCTGTGTGCTAAGTGAGCATAATACATGAGTCTGAAGCAGCAGAAATGCACCAACCAGAAAACACCTGATACCTGAGTGCTGTGGCCGCCGAGAAAACAGCGCGGGCGCGGCAGAGCTGCAGGAGGAACGGAAACAACTCACGTGCAACTTGTAAAAGAAAGGCCAGAAAAGGGAGACCCAGACTTTGAAGCACCATAATAAAAACAAAATCAAACAAGTTAAAACAAAGGCCTCCGGACAGAAAGGAAGTAGTGAAAAGCTCTTCGAAAGGCGGCTGTCACTGTTTCTAAAATGACAGTAATTGCAGATGAGGGAACCTGCCATGACCACTTCCTTATATTTCAAAGACAGAGACATAGTTCTCAAGTGAGAACATTCAAAGTCCTCTCTCCTAAGTGTTTTGAAATATGTAACACATTATACCATATGACAATACCAGAGTGACAGAACAGGGCACACAAAAATATGCACAATCGTTATATGTTGGTTAAAAAAATGAAACAGAAGAAAACTAGTTTTGAAGGTAATTTATTACTTACCAAACCTGCTATTGGTGTAGACAGTCTATTAATCTTCTTTATGATGCCAGGTTTGAGCTTATTAATCAAACTGAAAGTAAATAAACAAATAACACATACAGTTACACAAATGTCAATGTGATTCTAGTGCTCTTTGAAATGGTCTCAAAAATTTGCAGTAGCATAGTTCGGGTTCCAGATTTGTTGATCTGAGTCAGCGGCCCATAAGACAAACAATTAAATGTGTTTTTAAACACAAAACAAAGAACCTCCCTGCACAAAAGGGTGGAAAGGGTCTCCGAGTCAGACTTCTATATCCTAAACCCATGTCTTTAAAAATGGTTTCACATCCATTAAAGAAAGACAATCTGTTTTTGTCTTGACACACAGTAAGAAACTATCATCATAATTCCCTTCACTTGGCCCTAAGAATGCTTCTCCCTATAATGATCCTCAAAGGGATTTTATTTTTGCTTTGTTTTCTCATCTGGGTCCTTGTTTTTAAAGATCGCCTTCTACCCACATTGTTTCACATGTAAAGAGTGCAGAGGAACTCATCCAAATAATTGACTATTTCTTACTGCTAACTCATTCACACCCATGACTGATTGCATTGTTACCAGAGCAGAATGACTGGGTGAAAATCAAATGTACCAGAACTCCTCTAAATTACCCTGCAATCTGAAAGTGAGCGCATTTCAGTTAATATGACACATATTGCAAAGATATGTCTGTGTCTCCATACACCAAAGCACGAGGAAAGAAGCGCATCTTTGACACCCGCACTAACGTACAGTTCTGCTTCTAAATCTTGATCAGTATGGATTCATTCTTTTTCTTCACTAATACAATGTCAGACCATGTACTAACTTAATGCTACAATGTTTTCCCATTAATGTGAACTTGGGGAATTAATCATTAATCACTGTCACAAAACAGTATCTTAAAATGGTGAATTTTTTTTTCTGTTCAACAATTCATCCCCCAAACAAACAATACTTCATTCTGTAATAAGGTCCAACAGGAAAGCACAAAAAAAAGGAGGAGGAAGAGGAGGAGGGAAGGAGGAGGAGGAAATAAAATCCTCTGATTCACTGGTCTCTCCTTCGCAGTGGGCATTTGTGGGGTATGTGGGAGGGAGTCCTATGGAATGGCACTCCTTCCTCATTCCAGAGATTTCTATATACATTTGAGTATGCTAGGAATAAAAAAAAAAAAGACAAAAAAAGTCTTCATTTAATAGCCTTCAGAATGCTGCTCAGCAGGATTCAAAATTACAAAACACTGGCTTATGAAGCTTTAGCCTGGCGAACAAAAGTTGCTTTTCTGTTTTTGTAGTTTGTTCACACAAAGATCTTTGGACAGCTTAATCACAGGTAAACAGATAATACAACCATCCCCTTGGCTTTGAGGATGCATGGCTGAGAATGAACCCAGGGCCTCATGTGTGTGAAGCAAGTCCTTTGCTATCAAGTTGGACTCTAGCCCCAGCCCCTCGGTTGTGGCTCCCATGAGTCCTAAGTTCTGAACTGTACATTGCAAGTCATTTAAAAAGCCTTTTCCCTTCTCTGTCCACATTGCTTCCCCTCAATCACCAGCTGAGGACCTAGAAAATAATTAAGTAGATTCATAAGAAATGGTAGCTTCAGATTAACCTCTCTAGTTTTCCCCTCTGGACTGATGCTTCCAAAATTCTGGTATTTCTGCATATTTATTATGGCTGGCTCTTTGGCAATGCATAGAACTAATAAGTGGGCCATTGTTTAACAACAACATAATTCTGACACAGTCTATCAGTCATTTCCAGTTATTCACCAGCATCTTGCCAGTAGTATTTTCATAGAATACAACCTTCAGTGATATAAATTAGAGGCTAATATGAGCAGGAGTAACACATAATTATCTCAGGATGCCTGAGCACAGTTGTCCTTTCAGAGGAAAGGGTCATAAACTCCTGGCTCACCCACTGAGTCACTGGTGACTCTGACGAGGTCACTCTGTTTATCAGGTGACATGACTTATCCCTTCTGTAATATAGTGTCAGTAATGTCAAGAGCATTTTCTATTCCATTTCTGGAATGAATAATAAAACAGATTACTCTCAGTGAAGTAAGGGCTGAGTAAGGAAACAACGTAGACAGATACCTTCAGGTGGGTTAACCAATCCTCCCACATTGGCAAATTTGGCCAGAGACATTACTTAGAAGCAACTTCTACACAATGGATCAGCTTTCCTTTTCACACCTCAAACTTCCTGTACATGCACAAACACGGAAATAACTACAAGGAAAAAAACAGCACTCTGGAGAGCGCACACTCACCCTCGAAAAATCTGACTCACTCCAGGGAAATACTGTTTTATTTCATCCATCACAACACTCAGAGTTCTAAACAGTAGACTAAGGAGGAAATGTACACACAGTTTTGACAAATACTGAGCATGCAAATCACTTGATGAATTATAAATTGTGACTCTTAAGGAAGAACTTTTAGGGTATTTCTTACAAGGATAAAAAATGTTTCATGGGATCTAAAAATAATTAGATGAAATTTAAACACACTTAATGGAATACAGGCAGGGTCTCAAGTTAAAGGAAATTCCAGTACTGTGTATGGAAACACTCTCTTTTACAAATAGAAATGCTTTGCATAGTAAGTCTTCTTGAATTTCACATGTAGACTTTCTGAGGGGACACTGACTTCAGGTCACTGGCTCTGAAGCAAGACTCAGATTACAGGATAAACTTCCAGATGCTCCCATGCCCTGTGTTCTTGGCCTGCAACCCTGTGTTCCATCCCTCCAGCCCTGAGTAGAATTATATCTTTATCCCTCTCTCAAGCTTTCCCTGTGTGAGGGAACAAACCTGAGAACAGCTTGCTTGTCACAGCAGAGGTCTGTTCTTTTGGTAAGATCAAAAGTAGAACACAAGATAACTTGGGGTACTGTCACAGTGACCTCAATGACCTTCTCCTGGCTTCTTCTGAATGTTTGAGAACCTCCTAAAACTGCCATGATCAAATGTTAACTTCTCACGTTATGGTATTAGAGGGCAGGGCCCTTTGGGAGGTGGCATCCTCATGACTCTGCACCTCCTGAACGGGATTGAGTCAACAGGCCTTCCACTATGGGAAGTTGTGGTGAGAAAGTTACACTGAGAAGATGTGTACGTATAAAAAAATGGGCCATTACCAGACACCCAATCTGTATCCACCTTCATCTCGAACTTCCTAGGCCCAGCATGGTGAGAAATAACTTCCTGCTATATACAGGCTACCCACATTTTCTTGTAGCTGTTATTGTAGCCAAAAGGGACTATGCTCTATTCTTAAGGTGTCCACTTTTCCTTCTTCCTCTCTCACCAGCAAGTTCATTGTCTATTCTCTACAAAAGGGCTGCGTGGACCTGGGCTAGAACATTGGCTCCATTCACAGACCTTTCTATCAGTGGGTATGGCCTGACTTCCCAACTCAGGTGTGACACTCACAAAGCCAGCTATAAAGCTCAACGTGGCTCAGATGTGAACGTTTTTAAAGAGAACTTAAGTTTGACATTCTCCTGTGGGAGAATAAAAAAAAAAAAAGCTATAAGTGACAATTCACTTCCCCCTGTTATGAGAAAGCTCGTCAGCAAAAGTACAAAATTCAGGGCTACCTTTTTGCTGTCTCCAAAGATTTTCAAAATAAATGGAAAGACGTACACAGAAGACTATATTGATAGACTCAAACACTTTGTAACCTGTGGATGATCTTATTAGTCATCCACTCAGGCACATATCTGTTACCTCTTACTACATTTTACAAATGTGTGCCTTTCACATTATCAAATGTTTACGATTAAGTTTAATTCTTTAATTGTTGTGTTTATTTTGAGACAAGGTCCCATGTAACTCAGACTGGCCTCAGACTTGCTTATGCACACCCAAAGGTGACCTTGCACTTCCGATCCCCTGATCTGTCAGCCCACCTGGATTCTGCAGTGCAAGGGACTGGGACTCAGAAGCTCATGCACACAAGACAGCACCCTGTCCATTGAACCACACCTCCATTCCACAGTGTTTCAAAAGGACACAGGAAGGCTGTCCCATCTTCCTAACAAATTGAAGCTAGCAATATCTTTTTATTGATTATGATTATTATTTTATTGATTACTATCTACAGGATATCAATTTACTTGTTGACTTTTATTCTAAATAGGAATTCTGCTCTTTGGACATTTGCTTGCTTACTAAAGAAAGCTCTGGGCAAGGCTCACCCACAGATAAGTACAACTGCTTGGAGCAAGGCCCTGAAATCCACCTTGATTTTTTGGTTTGTGTAAAAATTTTCAAAATTTCTATCTTCTTTAAAGAAATAAATTTAGGGAAAAAATGCTTTGCTGCAATGAAATGTCATGATTTTTTTTAACCAACAATACCACTTCTCTATATTTTCTGTTCCAGGTGCATGAAATTTGATTGTTCTCTCCTAATTGCTAAAGTTGATTCAGAGAGTGAACTGTCAGATGAAGTCATCTGGACTGGTTATCTTCAGGAGATGTCAAGATTATAAGTCAATGGCTTCTAAGTTCATATTTTAAAATAGAAAGCAAATTTAATAGACAGTGACCACATTTTCATGAGTAAGATAACCAGTATTAGTCATTTAAAATGTATAAGTGTAAAAGCTTTTGGTACAAAAATTTATTACTGCATTAGTATGTAAAAATTAGTATATTAGTATAAGTCATAAAAAAACTAATATGCTTTACGTAGATAAAACTTTAACATAAATAAAAAACTTGACAATAAATGCTGAGATGGGTAACCGTGTGGAAGAATAATTAAGTCCAAACCAGGGCAACTGCTGTCATTTTCCTACAATGGCACTTGACTGAGCCCCATCAGTAGGCTTAAAACACATTAAAGTGCAGAACACAGTTATAAAATGTGACTTGTATGTACATGTTTTCAGGGTTCGCCATTTCGTACTAGATAACCAATGTGGGGAGGTCTTCCCAGGGAAACTATTTCTCATGCTCTCAGCATCCCTTAATTGCTTGTCGTCCCTTGTCTACGGCTGAGGCCCTATGAGATTTCCCTCTGTATGTTAGCA